ATTTAGTCATAACAACACAAAACAGACTAGGAACACTAACCATGGAAGCTGGTATTGTGTGGTAAGGGGTGAATCATGGATCAGCATGGCCTAGAGGCAGAACTAAGAGCTTCCTCCCCTGTGAGCACATCTAACTCTGCAGAGCTGGCTGCACAGCACATTCTGGTTGCCCACTTCCATTGTCATTGAGGAAGCCATCTGGAAACTTCTCACCAGCAGCCAAATCCCTGTAGCCAAATCCCGGGGCTTTCCGAAGACACTGAGCATATTCTTTCCCTACTGCAAACTCAGCAGGTGTGCACAGCTGCACACCGGTTGAAAACCACAGGACCAGGAAATGCTCCAGGCTGTGTCTGGAAGACTAGGCTGTACCCTCAAGCCAGGGATTTCTAGGAATGTATGGTGTAACCTCCTAGGAACCCTCTATAGCTGGAAAAGATTATAACAAAATACAAAAGAACAGGCAGATCCATGGTTGCAGTTTAAGAATGATTTACAAATAAGAAGAAAGTCAATTGGTTTTAAACACCCAGCAGGAAAGAGTAAATACCCCCCAAACACCAGATGAGCACTTAATAGTACTATAAAAACAAAGAAAGCTAGGCTACCTATACAAAGGGCTCCAAACACTGCACAGCACCTCTGGCAGTCTCCAGCTATACCTATAACATTTTAGCCCACAGCCACTAGAGGCCATGATTCCCAGTCCCATTGGTCCTTCCAAAGATGTGTCCTTCTGCCTCTCTAAGTATATTGGCATTACGTTATTTTAATGTAGTTTCAAATACCCCTCAGGTAAAAATTTGGCTTATAGTATAGTTGTACCTATAGAATAAAAAATGGAAATATAAATATTCTAGCTACTGAACTTTGTTGCCTTTGTGGTATGAACTTTCTATTATTTACTTCAGACTTTATATGTTTACATTATCTGGAGCTGGTCAATACAAGACATCTTGAGGTCTACAAAATAAAGGCCCGATCAAGGATCCGAACCCAACTGTCAACGATTTTAATGGATCAATGGTCACAAAAACATGTAGATATCTTATTTAGTGTATTCTTTGACTATTGTTATAATTAAAATAGGGGGATGTTGGATTTCTTATTGACAAAACAGAGAAGACTCTATGCTTTTAAATTCCACATATTGTACCTGAATTAACACCTCTGGGAAAATAGGGGCTGATATTAAAGATAAAAGGCTTATATCAAGTGCCATCTAATTTTCTCCGATTCTCAACCCTTTGGAGCCACTATTCACCAATATTCTACTTTTAATTTTTAACCCCTCTCTGCTAATTTAACATGGCTCTATAATGAACCTAAAGCACCAATGTCTTGATAATGTCCTTGTCTTCTTTTCCATATTATCAAAAATGGTTATTCTTTAAACAACAGAACTTGATATTCCTATGTCAGACAGAGTGAAAGTGTGATTCCTAAGTGGGCAGGGTCAGTGGCCCCATCAGCCTGAAGCAGCCATAAGAAGATGGACCTTTGGGCGCTCTATATCCCTTACAAATAAGAGATTAAAGTCTAGGAGGAGATGAAGTAAGATCATAAAAGTGAAGACAGAAAAGAGACAAGGAAAACAATAATTTTAAGAAGGTGGCAACTTCTAGACACAATCGAAGTTACTCAAGGTTATTCATATCTGTACTCCCCAGGCTTGTTTATGCTTTCTTTCTTCCAGGATTATCACATCCAAAATCTCTTGAAGATACCTTATATCCATAAATTAGCTTAGATGATAAGGTAAAGATTAGAAATATGACCTTTAAAAACATAATAGACTGGGTCCCTGCCTTTCTCCTGGAAAATGTGTTACCCTTTCATCCATAAAGTGAGTTATTATCTTTCTTCCTGTGAGTAGGTCATCAATTTTTGTCTATAAACTAAACCTGAACTTTCTATAAATTCACAAACTCTTCAGGTTTCTGCCACCAAAAACAAATACATATTCCCACACGGGGCTTGGGCATAAGGGCTGCACTTAACTTCCTGCTGGGATTCTGGGGTGTGGAACTGAACTGGCGATATGGGTGATCTTCATTTTTAGCAATATTAAAAACATCTTTTCTTTTTACAATAAAAATTATATGAATTCAAGTCATACAACATGACGTTTTAATACATATATCCTAAAGAAATGCTTTGTACAATGTAGTTCATTGAAGAATCCATCTACACATTGTTACCATCTCCCTTCCTTCCTCCCTCCCTTCCTCCCTCCCTTCCTTCCTTCTTTCCATCTGTCCTCCCTTCCCTCCTCCTTTCCTCTTTCCTTTCTTCATGTATGGTGAGAACACTCAAAATCTATTCCCATACCCTTCCCATAGCCAATGTCCCATATACAATGCAAGCTTAGCCATCAATTTTCAAAAGCTATTTGGTTTTTATTCCTGCTCCCTTTTGTCAATCACTAAAGATACATTCTGGGGATCAGAGTCCCACCCTAAAATCCCAGAAAGAACCAGAAACCAAAGGATGAGAGACGCAGAGGCCCCCAGGCATTGCCTTTCCCCAGTTCTGAGGAGAGAAGGCTGCTGCATGGGTTAGATCTGCAGAACTGTCCCAGAGCTCATGGTCACAGCCACAGCCACAGCCACCGCTGTGTGCCTCAAATGCCTGCTGCGGGCACACACTTGTGCCTGGTACCCAGAGCAGCTCCTTCCTCAATGAAAGGGTGAGTTCAAAGCCCAGAGCTCAAAATACTGTTGGACAGCAGAAAGTACCAGTTGCTTTCAAGCTGCTTTCTAATTCTGGCCCTGGGCTGCTCTGGTTCCAGTTAGGGGAGCCGGGGAGCCCTGGCACTCTCACTACTGTGCTGTGGGTGACCATAAAGGGACACCCGGGCAAGGCCACTAGAGCCAGCACCCAGTGTGGCCCAGTGGAGGTCACAGCCATGCCCTCAGCAGACTACTCCAGTGGCCGGAAGCCAATAATTTTGCTTTGAAAGGATCATTCTAGAGAAATGTGTATGTGGAAGCAATGAAGCTGTGAGGAAATCAAGTGAACATCACTGGCTGTGAAATCAGAGCCGGAAAGGACGCTGTGACAGTGCTGGATATGAAATGCAGACAGACTCAAGGCAACAAAGCTGGCTTCAGGGCACAGGGTGGGCAGAGCCCTGCGCTCCCACTGGGAATGAGTAGAGACCAGTTGCTGGCAAGAATTTCAGTGGCTGATGTGACAGGTGTGAGTGTCCCTGAGGCAGAGACCATGATCTCTGCGAGGACGCAGGCGGTGAAGTGCAGGGCACAGGGCACATGCAGCCTGAAGCTGACTGAGTTGCCCCAAATGATCTGGGCAGCCCCAGGGGGAGGCACAGGCCGAGTTCAGTGCTGCATGCTGCATTGACATCTGGTCTCAAAGACCCCTCCTCACGGCCCTGTGGAGAAGGTGCCCAGCCAGCATTTCTCCTTGCCAAGCCACTCCTGGGAGTCACCAAATTGTCCTGTGAGGACAAGGTCCCCCCATCTGCTTCTGTCCTGCACCCAGACCCTGCAGCTCCACATACCCAGGGCAGCCCCACGGTGTGGCTATGTGCAGTGTGCAGTGTCCTCCTCCTAGGCTGCATGTGTGACCCAGCCCTGATGACAATCTCATTGGTCCTGTCCAGCACCCTGCATTCAGCCACCTCTGTAACCCCAGGGTGAGATTCATTTACCAGTGTGGTGAGTTGGGAGTGACTATGACAGCACTGTGTTTCAAACTGGTAAATGCACACATTCCTGCTTCATCTTGCAATTTCCTTCTAAGGAAATATCCTATAAAAACACCCTCGAAGGCAAAGAGGGAAACACGGGGAAATGAGAATGTTCATTACAACACTGTAAGAGTGAAAATTTGGAAACAACCTAAGCAACTCTCCGTCAATGAAATTGTTAAGAAGATTACAGAAAACACATCTAGGAGATGCCCAGCAATGGCACAAAGGATTCGGGAAGAATTCCAAAGTGGTTACAACCAAGGAAGACTTAACAATGAATCCACTGATCCATGAGAACAGTGATGGAGCCACAGCCAGGGATATGGCAAGTGGGTGGGGTAAAGACTGTGGGAAAAAGGACAACAAGGATGAAAGCAGTGGACTTTGGGAGAGTCTGTGAGGAGCTGGCAAATGGAAGCTTTTTATTTTTGTTTTAGTGTTTTTGAGATACCAGACTCAAGTGATTCTCCTGCCTCAGCCTCCTGGATGCCAGGGACTATAGGTATGCACTTCTGCACCCAGCTCCTCTTTGATTCTTTTAATAATGAGATGCATTCTCCTATTAGTTACATCCTGGGATATAAATTTTAAAATAGTGAGAGCACATAAATGTATCCATATGTAGACTAAGGACTGGTGAAGGGTATAGTTGGCCCTGAAACCCAGCGATGGGACTGTCCAGCGAGACTGTCCCAGCACCCCATCCACAAACACCCCTGGGACCTGGTGTTGCCCTAGCCCACTGGTCCTCCCCAAATGTCTCCAGGGACTTCCTCCACAGAGACCCCCGAATACATGTTCTGCGCATGTGCTGTGTAATCAGTGCCAGACAATGGGAGGCGTTTTATAAATCCTCTGTCCTTTCTCTCCAACCCATGTTTTCATTTAACTTCCTCTAATGCAGCATATGTGAAAGAAAGGAAAAAAGGGAAGGGAGGGAGGAAAGCAAAGGGGAGGGAGGGGGGGAGGCAAGACAGGGAGCCTGGAGAAGGCCTGGCTAGCCCTGGTGACTAAGCAGTATTGAGCATGTGCCTTGCTCTTTGCTAACCTGGAAACTCACAGTGGCCATCACTTCCGGTCTCCGCTGCCTGTGGTCAGCACCGCCCCTGAACTGTGGAATTTAGCCCTCCCTCTCCTGCCTGTCTCCCTGGGAACCCATTGGTTGGGTCGGGGCTGAAATCCAGGGTGTGAGCCAGGCAGAGTCAACTGGGCCATAGCCCAAGCGAGAACCCCGCTCCCTGCCGCCTCCCGCTGTCCCTGCCACCCTGCACCCGGGCCCGCTCACCACGCTGATGCCGTCGTTGAGCAGCGCCTCTCCGAAGATCATCATGTACAGCTGCTCGTTGACCCGCGCCTCCTCGAACACAGCCAGCGCGGCCACCGGGTCCACGGCCGAGATGAGGCTGCCGAAGAGCAGGTTCTGCAGCAGGTGCAGGTCGCCCAGGCCGAAGGCCTGCACCTGGCACACCAGGTGGAGGGACAAGCCAATCCCTAAGGCATTGATGAGGGCGCCCAGGCCCGCCCACCACAGGATGGAGCCCAGGTTCTCGAAGAAGGGCCGGGTGGGCATGAAGTAGCCGCTCTCCAGCACAATTGGTGGCAGCAGGTAGAGGAAGTAGATGCTGGAGTCCATGACGGGGGGCGACTTGTGGTCGGTGCCGAAGATGATGCTGCCCACCAGGGCGCCCACCAGGATGAGCAGGCAGCTCTCGGGCATGAGGTGTGGCAGCCGGTGGTAGAGGTGGAAGCCTGTGGGGGAGAGAAGTGTGGCTGGGTTTGCTGTGGGGTTGCATGGAGTGCATGCGGGCCTCCCCCATCCCTGGAAACAGGACACAGGGTCAGTGCCTCTGTGGGAGGAGCTCGGAGTGTAGAGGGGCTGCAGCTAAGATCCTGTACTCCGATGGAGCCATGGTGGTGCAAGCCTGTAATCCCAGTGCTCCAGGAGGCTGAGACAGGAGGACTGCAAGTTCAAGCCTAGCCTGGGCAACTTAGTGACTTAGCAAGACCTTATGTTAATATAAATACATAAATAAACAAATATCACATGCCTGAGTGGTCCTACTCAGTGCAAGTGAGTGTCGTTCCCACCTGCTCCGCCCTCCCCTTTTTCTCCCTTCTCTCTTCCATCTTCCAGGGATGTGCAAGAGCATGGGAAGGAAAAAGAAGGGAGAGATGTTTGCTGTCACCCAAATCCAGCTTGCTTTGCTTGTGACACATGGACACAGTCACCCAGTCCTCAGCCTGTCACCCGATGGCCTCACCTGGTCCTCCTCTTCATCCAGCAGACACACAGAAATGAAGCACCTTTATTTGGTCTCTATGTAACCAGCGACTCAGGAGAAGGAACTTGGGTCACTCTCTCAAGAGCCTCTGCCCCTCACACAGTCGGCTCTGATTTCTGTTGTCACCGCGGTCATCAACCGCCCCAAGGCCCAGCCCTGCTCTCCATCCCCAGAGCCCCTGCATTACTGGGGGTCTCCTCCTCCCCGTCCTAGCCATGCATTGTCTTCCTGTCTGGTTGCCATGGTTTGGACCCTGAATGTCCTCAAAGCCCTTGTGGTGAAGGTGAGGCCCTAGGGTGGTACTACCAGGAGGAAACTTGGAGGAGAGGAGCCCAGCAGGAGGGCCTCAGGTCACAAGGTATCCCCAAAGGGACAGTGGGGCCCCAGCCCTTCACCCGCCTGTTTCCTTCCCAGTAATGAGTTTGCCTCCCGTGAGGTTCTGCCACCCAACACATTCAAAAGTGATGTGGCCATTCACAGACTAGAACCTCCAGAGCTGTCACCCAAAACCCTTTTTTTTTGGTAAGGTACTTACTGTATCTCAGATATTTTTATAGTGATGAGAAGCTGATGAACACACCTCCCATCTCACCCTCAACCCCCCAGGCCATTCCACACCCTTCAGGCAGATGAGTGGTCTATACCATGTGTGACCGCCCTGTAAGGTTCAGAAAGCACAGAAGCGTTGCCTGGGTTTAACCTGACGATATCCATTGAGTATTCCTCTGCAAAGCCCAATTTTAGGCACAGTAAGTAGAATACCAGCGATGGAAACCACAACTCCCACTGTGAGAGTTTCAGAAAGAAGATGTCAGCAAATAAGAGAATAGCGATAACCTGATCTATAAGGGTATAATAAACTGCATGTTGAATTTACCAACAGACAGTCCGAGATTGGAGCTCTGTGGATCTCCGTGGGTCCTCTCCAAGTCTGCCTCCAACATAGCCTGCTCTGCTCAGTCCAGCCTACATCACAACCCACCAGATGCCTTTCTACTCCACAGCTCCCATCTCTCTGGTCTTCTTAGCTTATTATCTCTGCTTGAGTTGTTTTTTTTCCCCGGGTCTGTTTAGGTCTGGCTCAGAAATGAGCCTAAGCTTTTCCCAGCTTCCCTCTGAGGAAATTCTGTCTCTTACTCTGAGATATCAAAGCAGTTTATCTGCACAGGACCTGTCCAATACCAGTGTTCCTTATCTAGCTTTTTTTGTGCACAACTTATCTCCCTTACTAATCTTCAGATTCCCCAAATGCAGAATGATTTACCTGGTTATATCCCTTCCAGACCCCTCATTAGCAAAGTGTCTCGTCTGCAACAGCTGGTCTGTTTGCTGAAAGAATTTACAAGTGTAAAATGAACAAATGAATGAGTTTACTGTCCACTGGAGACATTCTTACTGGGAAGAAATTGAATGTGTTGTTAGAAAATGACTAGGACTTGTGCAAGATGGATGGTGGGATGAGAAACGATTTAGGTAGGAAGAAGTTCAAGAGCAAAGGAGAGAGGCACAAAAGGCTCAGACATGTTTATAATGTCTGTGGAGGAAATCTACCTTGTTGAGGCAAATTCTGAATTGGGAAGAATATTAGGAGAAGAGTTGGGAGATTTCTAAACTAAGGTGGCTTCTTCCATAGGCTGTGGGGGGCTGGCAAATGTCTCCCTAGCAATTCTTGGGTTCAGCCAGCTGAAGAGGATATGGGCTTCCCTGACCACAGCTTTGCACTCCTCCACTTCCGGTCAATGGGCAAGCTGATATCATGGGGTGTAATTCTCCTCAGGGGACTCCCTACCATGGCTACCCCTCTGGCTTCCAGGCCAGTGTAACCTCTTCTTCTAATACTGGATTTTCCATTTCCTAATCACAACTTTCCCAGCTGCTTCCTTCACTTCCTCTCCTTTTTCTTCTGCTAGTGCTTATTTTAACCAAACTTAGCTTTTCTTCTTCTCCCAAGAAGAAGAAAGCTCACACCATGGTTCCCTCAGAACTGTCCCTGCTCCAGAGAATCCAGCTTCCCAAGATGGACCGAGAACCCACCTGCCTCGGGCCCAGTTGCCCCTGTGGGGTTGTTGCAGGGAGAGGCTCTGTCCCCACAGCAGGACATTGCTGAGGGGACTGCTGCACACACTTCACAGCAAAGCCTTTCTCCCCTGTCTGAGAGACACCAGCGTCAGTCACCTCCAGACATTAAGTGGACCCAAATAATAAAGCCTTGCTTGAAAATCAAGATGAATTTACAATTCCATCCTTCCAAATGGTTCAAAGGACATTTTTCCACTGTGTTCTAAAAAAAAGAACTAAAAAGTCAGTGGTTTCGCTGCCTGCTGCGCAAGCACAAGGACCCAAGTTCGATATCTGGTTCCAAAAAAAAAAAGACAACCCACAGAGTCTGAGGTGATTTTTGATTACCTTTGTTCTAGGATATCTTTGCTTTGCTAATGCACAGTTAATTGTTTTAAGCTGGATTGGGAGGAATTTTTTTATGTTTTCTGTCACCACACTGAGCAGTCAGTTCTAGGTGACCCTGTCTTCCAGTTAAACTAAGTCCCTGGAGGTCAGGGACCATGGTCATTCCCACATATCACGTGGGTGCTCTGAAATGTGTCTTCATTGAATGAGAAATCAAAGAATAGAATAAGGGTTATTATATTCCTACTCATGTTTTAAACACAATCTTTCACAACTCATTTGCATTCCTTAAGTGTTAAAATTTTATAAATTATCATCATTATTACTCTTTTGTCATCATATATAAAACTTCCAACCTGGTACTTGGCACACAATATGTATTCAATAAATAAGACTCTTTCCTCCTTACCTCCCATACCCGTCTGGAATATAGGAACTTTCTGGATTCCTGAAGACTAGCATATATGAAGTTATCCTTGAATAAGTATGTTCAGTGGATAACCTACTTCAGTTATTTTCTTCTGCTAAAGTGAGAGACAAGATGTAACATGAAGCTTAGAGCCTGTGACCAACCATCCCATGAACATCAGCAGCTCACAGCCTTTCCATGTGTAGCCTCTCCAGAACCAGCTATGCTTCTAGCAATTTAAAACCAAGATAAGATGGGCCCTTCCTTGGTGAAGTGTCTACTGGTAGACAAAGTGACCATCTAGTCAGGGGCAGGTCCAGTTTCCCAGTTCCCACACCAAAATCCATCATGCCTGGGGGGCAGCGGAGACACAGAAGGACCAGAGTTTTCAGAGAAGCATCCACATTCCACAGAAGACCACCTTCTGAATGTGCTCAGTGTCTGTGTGGTTTTGTGGAAAGCATTAGACTCTGCTCTGAACTGAAGACATTACTGATTGGAAAGTCATTGCTCCTCAAATTCTTTAAAATAACGTGAGAACTTCTGTGTAACTTAACTGTTTCACAAATTAAAAGAATTCTTCAACCTAACAATTCCCATGCCATCCTCACACTTCACCAGCTCACCAGAAACTGCTGTTAGAAAGAGGCACCTCTTAAGGACAATGTGCCCAGATCCACATGGAGGGAGTCAGGTGCATAGACCAGGGCCATGGGAACTAATTGCAGACCACACACCTCTCAGCCTATAGTCTACATCCATCCTAGGGAAAAGAAAACACATGGGCATCAACATGGCCCAGAGATTCTATCTATCTCAAGAAGGCAGTCTACACACTCAGTGTCAAGATATAGCTGAGCCAAAAGAGACAGCATGCTTAGTAACTAAGATAATTATATTGATTTACCACTTTGGGGTAAACTGGTTTTTAGGAGGAGAGTAGGGATTAAATAGAGTGTAATCACCACTGTGGATTTGGCACAAAAATCCTGGATTGGAATTGAATCCTTCACCTGAAGTCACTTCATTTCACAAAGGAAAGCAGAGATGCGTCGTGGACTCTGTTTGACATGGGTGCAAACCAACATTGTACCCTGTGTCTCACCCAGACAGATGTAAGAGCTGCCTATGGTTGACTTGCTCCTTGTCCCTGTCATATTTCGAGGAACATGGGACACTTGTGAAGAAAGGGCTATAGGAGCCATGGATTCATCCTGCAGGTACGCGGCTGAGAGTGGACAAGTGCTCTATAGAAGAAATAACACAAGTCTGCTGAAATGGCCAGCCCACACCACCCTGGGGGCTTCACATTTTACATAGAACTGGAGATTTTTCTATGACAAAGTCACATAGTTGTCACCTCAAAATGAGAAGTAAAAACAACCCAGGACCCAGAAGTACACTCTTACATTTCACAGCCCAATCCTGAAGCATTAAACAGCTTTGGGAATAAAAGCAAGACTTTCCCTGAGCTGAAGGGAAGAGAAGTTCTCTGTAATCATAGTGTCAGATCAAATCCATGTCATTTCAAGGGAGAAATAACTCGCCAAACAGGTGCTCAAGGACTTACCTATTTTTGCAAGAGATGCTAGAAGTATCCAGAGGGTGACCTCATAAGGAATCTGCACGTAATCATAGTCCAGCTCAAACACAGAAATCCTTTCATCTGGCTCTGTCCTGGAAGCAGCAAACCAGGCGTTTGGTGCATCTTGGGCAGTGGAATTTGCAGATTCATTCAAGTCAGAAGCTGCTTCAGAGCTGGCAAGGGCCACCAGCAACAGCAAGCAGCTCCCAGGGCTTGGACACAGGAGCATCTCAAGAGCCATGCCTGTGGGTTCCTGCTACACTGGGTGCCGCTTGTGCCACACAGCTGTGGTCAGGAGGGCGTCTAGACACCAGCTGCATCCACCTGATCCAAGGTAACATCCATGCGTCCCCCTGGCATTCCAGAGGAAGTCCAGCTGTGGACGTTTTCTAATCTTCTACGAATCATTCCTGTTCAGGCAATGCAGCTTTTGGCTCACATGCAGTCCTCCAGTGGATGTGTGGGAGCCCAGGGAGCTACCTGGAGGACCTCCATCCCATCAGGACGTGAAGAGCAACTTTAAAAGGAGAAAAGCTGTCCTCTGTCCAAGCTGTTCATTCTTCTCACTGCCTGTTGGCTTCATCTTCAGAGTGAAAATTGGCAAGGGCACCACCACCTCATTCCATTCATCATGGAAGGTACTGTTTGTAAGGAAGGGGATCCTTCCCACACTGTCAGGCCCCAGGAAGGAGCTACCTGTCCCGCAACTGTCCTCACTCCTCCCCTTGCTCTCTCCCTTCTTTCGAGCGGCCAAGACTGCAGGTAGCTCTAACCACACTTAATTATTTGCTCTGATTTGAGTTTTGTGATAAAACGCTTGGGAAGTGTTCTCCAGAGTGGCCGCTGCTGACACCTAGTGGTCACCCATGATAAGACACCCTTTGGGCGCGCAGTCCAGCAGTTAATAACTGGAAGACCATAGGCTTGAACCAGCACTGCCCTTGAAACGGTGACACCGGACCTGTACTCGGGGGAGGACGAGCCAGTGGAAGCGACAAGGTGATAAACATTGGCGTGGCCAATGACTGGACCGCAGGAACAGTCACTCGTAGAAGGGGTGCAATCCCAGCTCCCCATACCCTTCACAGAGAATGACATAAAAGACAAGAAACCAAATAACAAGTTCCAGAAATACATCAAAAAGACAATTATGAAAACTCCATGAAATATGCAAGGTTTCCATTTTAAAGTTATTTGTTGTGGTGGCACAACAAATTTACAGAAGCACTATCACAGAGTAGTATGGAAGGAATTTGAAGTGAACATTATAAATCTACTTGTAGTTCTTCCATATCTGGCCAGGTGACTTTGAGCATGCTACCTACCTGTCCAAAGTGCTTCACCTGACAAAGGGAAGATAATAGCTCATCGAGCATCAAGCAACGAGGGCATCCAGTGGGGTAGAACAAGGAAGGTATTTGGTACAGAGTTGGCACTTAACAATGGTCAGTTTTTACTATTTTCAACTGCACTCCTTATTCTTATAAAATATCCAACACAATACTGCTGCAGTGGACCGTCCTCAGTAGAAAATAAGAATTATTATTCATAATTCACATACTACCTCAGCACCTCGTCTTCATCAAACTGCAAGATGCTCTGTGTTTTTCCCTCAGTTCCCAAGAGGGAGCACAGGTAATTCTCCTCACACCTTCTGCAGAGCTCACTGAGGTCCCAACACCTAAATGTAAACTCACAGCAAGACACCAGAACTAAGAATTGACATGCAGATATTTTTCTTTCCTTCATAATCTGAATCCAAAATGGAATAGGTCTAGTCACTAAAACAAGATTATCAGGTAGGTTCTAAGGAGAGCACCTTATTAAGTCTACCGTATTTTTTTTCTCAGAAAAGGATATACGAATAGCCCCAAAATAGGAAGTTCCCTTAAAATAGATGATTTACATTTCGTTGTACTTTTTTTCTAAGAAGAAATGAGATAGAGAGAGAGAGAAAGAGAGAGAGAGAGAGAGAGAGAATGAATTCCCATGATGCTCTGTGGTAGGACCACATCCAAGCATCAGGAATCCTACCCCTGGGAAGCATGAGTTCCCAGACTTCCCCAAGAAGCCCACTGTCTTTGTTGGTGCCTCAGTCTGTTCATCTATAAAATGAAGATGCTGTTTACACCAGGTATTCCCTTCCTGCTTTAAGATTACAAACCTTTGTGTCTCTCTAACAACATGTTCACCTTAAGGCCAACTGGAATGACACTAACTTAGTTTCCAGAGCACCCATTAACTGTGTTCCATGGTAAGATTGAGCTGCTTGTTGTACCCATGCTTGGCATCACTTCCATCTGAGGTTCCATTAAAGGGTCTCTTCAACAGGGGCACAGGATGTGGGACAAAGCCACCCATGGAAAGGGGTTGTGGAAGCCAGGGAGAAGCATCTCTAGAGGAACAGCTGCACAGAGGCCCACAGCTGGAAAGTTACTAAAGCCAAAGCAGCAGCCCTGACCTGCAAGTTGTGCTGGGACACCAGCAATGGCAGGGGGTCTCCTGAGTGCCTGTAAGCCCTGCCTGAATGTGAGGTGAGGCTGTCCCCCCAGCACCCTTCAGCTCTAAGGAAAGCTCTTCTCCAAAGAGTTTGAGGCTCCCTCTTGTCCCAGCTTCCAGGCTACACCTATAGTTTCTACCCAGAAAACCCAGGCTTTCTGTATCTGCTCCCAAACCCTGCCCAGACCACCCCCACCAATGTGTCACACATGCCTTCTTGGATCCAGAGACCCCTTCCTCCATCCAGCCCATGAACAAGATTGAAACTCACCCAGGCACAGCGAGGCAGAAACATAGGGTCCCAGTCACCGGAGCCCCGGCTCTCTGTAAGACTCAGTTTTCACACCATGAAGAACCACCCAAGAGGCCTGGGGCTACTGCTGCATCCAGCACCTACTCATGGTGAGTGCAGCACTCCTGGGGAAGCAGGTGGCTGTCTTGTCCCCATCTCCAGAACTGAGGAACAGAGTCCTGCCCGACGGAGAAGACACATCACAGAGAGCTCCACAGCTCTCTCTGGAGGACAGATTTGACTTGGAGGAGAGCACAGGAAGTTCCAGCCTGAGGGAACATGGACATGAGCAAGTAGGAAGAGCTGGGTGCTCTGTGACCAGCAAAAGTGGGTTCACTGTTGCCCCACAGAGTCAGACTGGAGGCTAAGTCATGAGGAAGAAAGAGCTTCATTAGCAACCAACTGGGTGCCCGAAGGTGGCAGGCTCTGCCTTCAGCAAGGTCTTCCCTTACCCGAGGGGAGAGCCTTAGATGATTTTTCAAGGGAGGAGATGAAGGAAGCTGTGTGGGTCCTAGACAGGAAGAGCACCTCAGCCGTCCAGTGTTTCAAAAACTACTGTCTCTGGAAAGTGGGCTGTGTCCATCTTACTGTGGTCACATATGTCAGGAGAGTGAGTGGCTGTACAGGGATGTAAAGAAGATGCAAGCGATGCAAGTTTCTCTGCTGACCAGAATGATTCATGCCTGGTGTTTGCTGACATCAGTGCAATGCAAGTGTTCCTTCAGGTGCGGTCTTCACCTGGAACTGGGGCCAGAGAGTCCGGGAAGGGGGTCATGTGCGTGCCTAGCTAAGCTCACTGCAGAATCCCCCAAAAGATGGGCTGCGGTGCTGATGGCCTGAGGAGATGGGACAGGAGGAAGAGAAACTTCTGAGAGTTGGGTCTGCATCATGGGGATAAGACTACACACTCAGTTCCAGGAAAGAAACACAATAAAGGGTGACAAACTAGAATTTTAACAGAAGAGCCCTTGGAGGTCAGAGTAAGTCTCAAAGCTGGCCCCGAGGACGACCCTGCACAAGGGCTGACTTCAGTCAGATTAGACAGTAGCCCAAGGCATTGATGAGAACTAAAGAGCACCAGGCTGGCTTGCTGGCGGTTCCTGGAGGCTGACAACCTGTTGACCACCAGAGCCATCTGCAAGCTGAACAGGGAGGACAGTGAGAGAGAGAAAATCATAGAGAAGCCTGCAAAGCCACTGTCACCAGGGTGAGGAGGGAGGCTGGAGACGCAGGATGACCAAGGTGGCCCTGGCCAAGGGCTGACATCAAAGTCTGCTCTGGAAGCAGATTCCTGAAGTAGCCCAGTCAAGTCACAAAACAAATGTCAAACCCCACATGGCTCTGGACAAAGGAGGAGGAAGACTCAGCATTGAGAACTGCCCGAAAGTCATCCAATAGATTCAGACTGTCTTCAACAACAGCAGCCATGAGACACTCCATTGTCCACAGGAGACACGCATGTGGATTCCAAGATCCAAGTGAGCTGAAGGAATGGAAAAGGTGCCCCAGCCTATGTAGGGGAACGGCTGGGGTGACTTCACAAGTCAGTGAGGAATAGGCTGTGAGAGAGCAAATGTTGCTGGAGACAGAGGAGCATTTTCAGAAAATGAAAAGTTTAGTCCATCAAGAGGATGTAAAAATGACACATTTATATGTAGTAACTTGGTAAAATCCTCAACATGGTAAAGTCCACAGCCAACATAAGAGTTAATGGTAAGAGATGGAAGCATTTCCCCTGAGTTCAGAGCGAAGACCAGGAAGGATGCTCACTCTTTTTTATTTTCCACATTCTTTTTCTTTTAATCTTTAGTTTTATTAACACACATGTACAGCACATAATGAGAACACTCAGGATGGGGAGTTGGTCATGTATGCAACACATCTTCATTCTCTTTACCCTTCCCCTCCTCTCCCTCCATCTTGGTCCTCTTCCCATTTGCAAAAGATCTATATCCTGGTTTCCTATTATCTATCTTTTATTTTACTCTTTAATTTATTTATACTTTGGGTTTCTCACATAGGAGAAGCATTACAATATTTAAGCTTGTATGTCTGATGTATTTCATTTAATATTATGGTCTCAAGGTGCATCTGTTTTCCTACAAATGACTCTTTTATCCTTCTTTATGGCATAGTAGTGCTCCACTGTGTGTAATACCACATTTTCTTTATCTGTTCATCTGTTTATGGACATTTAGGCTGCTTCCAAGATTTGACCGCTACGCATTGTGCTGATGAAACACAGGTGTGCATGGATCACTGTGCTGTGACATCTTCAGCTCTTTCAGGAAGGGTTTCCACGGTTTCCTCTTCTCAGCATCCCACTGGAGGTTCTGTCCAAGGTGATTAAACAATAAAAGTAACTAAAATGTGACAGACTGGAAGGGGGAAAGTAAAACCCTTTCTGTTTGCAGATGGCATAATCTTTTATAAGATTATAAGATTATAGATTATCATAATTCAAAATAATTGACAAAAAATGTTAGATCTAATAAATGAGTTCACCAAGCTTACAGGATAGGAGACCAATATACAAAAACAAATTGTACTTTCTAGTAGCAATAAACAAATAAATTGAAATTCAGAGAATAATACCATTTTACAGCAGCAGCAAAAAACAAAATTCTTAGGAATATGTTTGACACGTAGTCTGAAAAGTAAAACACTGCTGAAAGTAAAGAAGACCTAAATACAGTTGACCCTTGACCTATGAACTCAGTTCCTTCTCAAGGGCTAGTTGTAACTTAAGTTAGTCAACTGAGGGCTCGGGCTCCTCTACACAGCCTTCGAAGTCTCTGTCCTGTACACAAGTAGATCTCATTGTTCTTAGAGAGACATTGGCCCAGGATTTCTCAATGAACTCCACACAGGAGAGGATGTTGTAATGTTCCTTCCAGAACTCTTCAAGGGTTAAATCTGTATCTGAGACCATCTTGAAGCACAAGGAGCCAGCATTTGGGTCATAACTCAGTACTTTGGTAGTAAGTTAA